TCAATCTCTCAGAGTGAAGTTGTGAAGTATAGGGACCCTAAGCCAGGGGTAGAAGTTAAGTAGGCCCAGACTGTAGTCGATCCTTGGAAAGCACTTGAGAATGTTAGTGTTGGGTAGTGAATCGTAAACCCTATAAATCCATCTTTCAATAGAGTGCTGAGGTAGGACTACTGCAAAGGGGGCAGACGCACGAGGAAGTAAGAAGAAAGTGACTTCACCCACGGTGGCTAGAGGAATGACTCAATCCGCTTTTATGAGGTGTCACGTTTAATGGTTCTTTATTCGCCCCAATAATTTGTGTGTGTCTATATAAAATTGTCGTGAATAGTCGCTTAGTGTCAAGGCAAGGGCAGTTTTTGAAGTTACACTGATTCTTTCTTCTTTTTTTTGGTAGATTAGCTTCCAGGTTATTTAGACTTGTCAACAGTTATTGTTAACAATCATTTAGTGAGTATAATGAATTAATATATATGTAGAGCTTGTGCAGAGGCATTTCGTTTAAGTAAATAGGGCTTTGGTCCCCACTTTGTTTTAATTAGGTAACTTTATTTGATTTCACGTCTAGTCCTAGAAGATTTTATTATTGTAAGGGTCTATTTGATAGAAATAATTGAGTGTTTTGGCGTCTATAGCAGCTTCTAACTTTAGGATGAATGCCCTCAGTGACTGAATTGTGTGAATGTGAAGAGGAATAAATGTAGAAGAAGGTTAAAAACTATTATATTGTGAGACCAAAACACATTAGAATAGGGTTAAGGACTTTAATAGGATCGATTTTATTTTATTTTATTTTTTATTTCGAATTTTGTTAGGACCGAGAAGCCTCAAACAGGACAACTACAACTCTATCTAGTTAGAAAATATTCGCTCCCTTTTGTTAGGTCCCTCGTTAAGGGGTATAATTTTCCTTTGATTTTCTTTTATCTTAGTTTAGCTTGAATTCTAAGGATTGTGGATAAATGATCCCTATCCCGACCCTCAGACTTGGAGATAGTGGAAGGCAAGGATCAAGCCGAATTTCCCACTCAACTCCTCCTCGCAAGAGGAAACGAAGAGGTATAGATTGAATTTTATGCAGGATGGGGGATTTGTTTTAGCCATGCCGTATAGCCTGGGGTATAACGGCGCGACCTTGGGTAACCGATCTGACACCGTAGTTTCGACGCTTTTAGCGTGGCTGGAGCGAGGGTGTTCCAGACGGGAGGTCCTGTAAGATTGGCAAGTAGGCAGAGATTGCCCAGTTATTCTAGACGAAGTAGTTTCCGTCTATTGAATTTTTTTGGTACCAGTTTGATCCCCCATAGCTAGCGGAAGTTTCTTCTAATAAAGGATTCGCCCTGCCATACGTTTGTTGGAATGAATTCGAGCATAAGACCGATTCGAGAGACAGAATAAGTAATTATTAGGACCTTCAACGAGTTTAGACTCGTTCCATGTTAGGATAAGATTTTAAAGTATTAGTTAACTATAATGACCGCGAACGAGACGCCAGAACAAGCCAGTGAGTCAAAGTTTTAGAAGTGTTGTATTGAGGACAGTAGAATTAAGAGCAGTTATACAGGGAGTAGAATTCTGAAGGAATTTGTAAAAGGAACCAAAATTTCAGATTGATAAAATTCAAACTTATAAGATGTAGATTTATAGGATTCAGGTCAATGAATAGAGGGTATATTAGTAGATGAAAGTAATGTGAATTTCTTGGAAGGGGGAGGTAGCTGAACTGTACACACCCCAGAGGCAAGGTAAACGGAGCCACAAACAAAATAGTAGTCGCTCTGCCAAAACAGAAAATTTCTCTTCATACGGTTGTCACCCTAGATTTAAATGGACTGTGTAGTTTAATAGAGGTCTGGGCTATGTTCCATTTGACCAAGATTCTAAATGACGTACCCATCTGGGTTGAGAGAGTATTGTAATTTGAGGAATCTAACACACAAGAGAGAACACACCCTCCAATAGGATCGGGATAGACGAATATTACCCAGTGACCAACTCGTGATTCCAGACTGGATAAGATTGAAAACTTAACTGAGATACTAAACCTTGAACCCTCAGCGCACAAATATATATTATGTTTACATTTTCTTATTCAATATGTTATTATTTTTATGTCATATATATTATATTATAGTCATATACTATTAATTTCAACAATTTTATTTTGATATTCATGATATTAATATTTATATTAAATATTTAATTATATATATTTTGTCACCATATATAATCTTGTAGTAGTTTCTTTTGTCATCTATCATGGGATGATTTTTTATCACTTATATCTTAACATATTTAATCACTATCTACATGATATGTTTACTTCAATATATATATTATACTCATCATATAACATGGAAGGATTCATTTTATCATTACATATTTCGTGCCTTATTTAATGATTACTTACATAATTTGTTTTCTGTAATTTTTTATTTAGCAAAAGTCATCATGTCATAGGCTAATCATTATATACCAAGATATTTCTTTCAGCTAACTATAATTATCCTTTCCTTTGATTGTATATATATATAACTATACCACACGAATGTCTTGATTGGTACGAAAATAAAGATGCTGGCATGTTTTAGGAGTTGGACTAGTCAGTTATTTCTAAACGACTTCTTGGCGCCCAATTTTTTATATATAATATGTAATAGGGAAATGTTCTAACTGTATTGTTAGCAGAAAGAAGGTAGCAATGAATCCAGCACCCCAAGAGGCAAGGATGGGGTTGAGAGGACTTACCACAAGGAAGGCCTACTCCTCAAGGCCAAAGAAGAAATTGGAAGGGTGGTATATATACCCATGAATGGTAAGACAGATGACCTTGCTTACTTCCATACATATGATATGACTGTCCCCCATAACCTATGTTGATAACAGTGTGCTGACAGAATAATAACACATAAAAAAAACCCCTTTGCCAGGATGCGCAATGCCCACTAATGTTCGGAATAATAAACATCTAGAATGGCATACCATCATTTTGACTAGCCTTATCTTCCCTATAGGTTTCGGTACATCTGGCTTCACCTAGTAATGGAAAATGCATTTTGCTAGAAATGGGCCTGCTTTCATAGTAACTGATGAAAGGCAGATGAATAATGAGTAGCACAAACGCATTTGTCCATTACTTGGCAGGGGGAGGATTGTTGGGGCACGTTTTTGAAACCATACCCCAACAGAAGGCGTATGTATAATCAAATCAAATGGATACATGGCTTCCCTCCCACATAGACTTACAGACCACCTTTTGCCCAGAAACCTAGACAATTGATGACACCAGACTTCAATGCCGAAAGCTGATGCCTGGTGGAGAAGAAGACATCCAGAGACATCCGAGCTGGAAACTGTTGTTTCATATGTACATATATTCCCCTCACCAAAAATTTAGGTAAAGGTGACAAGAAGAAATGGAGAAGGAAGATTTCTAAAAGACTAAGCCTTATAAATATCCTTCCCGAAAAAAGGAAGCATCACATTACAGTCCAGGTAAAAGGGGCCTGGGTCGATTTTTAGCCAAGACGGGGGGCCTGGGGTCTGAAATTTTACACTAGTGCCGTGGCTGTTTCTCTCTTTAGATTTTTTGTTTTGGTAATACTATATGTTCTATTTTGATGGGAGAGGCCTGGGGCGTCTATGAAATTGTATACTGGAGCCGTTGGCCATTTTGATTGGTGTTTCTTTCGGCGAATGAAAATGCCAGCGAATAGAAACTTTGGGCGCGGCCAGCGAATGAAAACGGAGAGAGACAAGAATAAAAGAGGGTTTCTTTGCCAAAAGGCAGTTGGAATCTGAGTCGCTCAGTGAGAGGACAGTCTTCAGACGGGAGACCAGACCTTTGCCGGCACTTTCGAGAAAAGGTAAGCCATTTGTCATTATGACTTAGCGCCCCCCCCCCCTTTTTTGTGTAGTAACCAACCTAGATTTCGCATGGGCCCTAAAGGGCTATAAAGTAACTTCAGGTCACCTCTATCTAAATTTTTATTATGTAAATAGCATATCTCGTCAGTATAGACATGTTCCCAAATTTTAATTTATTTAAATAAATATCTAGAGAAATTTTCTTGTTTCCTCTCATACATATTTCATTCCTTTTGCTTTATGGTACTACCCCCACACCTTAATTTCACAAATTGTAATAAATATAGAACTACCGACTCTGTTGGAATAGAGTTGTGTACTATATCTTTGCTGTGATATATTGACACAGCGACAGTTGCAAATTACGACTTTATTAGGGCTACTTTGAGGGTATCTATCTGTCAGGTTTTAGTAATGTTTGTACTTTTATGTGTTTCAGTGCGTTATTCCATCATATTTACCATTATACCATATTTTCTGATTCCTCGGGCTATTGTTACGCTGTTAGGAGGGTATGGCATGATGCAAACAGATTTGTATGTTTGACTATTGTTTGTGTTATTTGGGCTATAAAAATGCCTTAATATGAATCTATTTACAGTTGATCTGTAGAAATTATAGAGATCTGTTGCTATAATTTTCCTCTATGAAATAGCTCCCAGCGTCTTCAGTGGGTTGCTAAACCTCCAGAAGGAGTCTTTTATAGATTGCCCAATTTAATAACGATTTCATGGGTTGTCTGATGAAATTGTATACTAGTGTCGTGGTTGTTTCCATCTTTAGACCTTTGTTCTGACAATATTATATGCTCGATCCCTGCTTTAACTCAAACTCTTAATCAATTACAGAGTTTCCCCCTTTTTTTATTTATTTATTTATCCTGTTTGCACAAATTGCATTACATGTGATGATGTAAAGACATATGTCGATAGTGCATCATTGACAGCTGTGCTTCTATTATACAACATTAAGGTCTTGCTGCGGGTTATATACATGGGGTTGTTGGCCTAAATTGCTATATATATATATACTTAAGTAAGGAAACTTTAATAAGTCACATCGTGTATCCTCCCTTTTCATCTATCCAAACCGGGAACGCAACACATATTTTATACAATTTACAAATATTAGGGGGGGTCGGTTGAAGGCTGGTTAAACCGTTTGGTTTACGACCACTACGACCCGGGTTCGATCCCCGCATTGGACACTTTTTTCTGTTTAAAAAAAAATGCTCCAATGGCCCCCCGATTCTTGCAAAAGTCCAACCCCACCAGCGAGTGCAAGTAACCAAACGGAGCTCTGGCACATTTGTAAGTGCAAAGTCGAACTGCTTTCACATGTGTAGACATGTGGTGCGCTTAAAGTAAAAAAGAGCAGTCGCTAACTACCCACCATGATTATCATGGCCTGTACCACGTGTACTAGGGATAAGCAAAAAAAAAAAACAAATATTAGCCCCTAGGCCAAAGCCAAAACAAATTATCTATGAACACTACACGATGAAGAGCCAAACTTGCTCTATCAAGACAATAGAAAAGTCAGTAACTACCTCTCTTTAAACATTAATTACACCTTCTTCTATCATTTTTCTATTGTCTTTCTATCAACCTTCTATAATCTTATTATCATTTCTCATCATCTTTATTTTATCTTTCATTCATAACTCATCGCTTTAACAAAATTTTATATCATCTTTCTATATATTTATATCATTTTTCATTTTACCCTACTATTATCATCTCTCAATTATCTTTTTATCATTTATCTATCATTCTTCCACCTTTTCATCTCCTTTCATCACTTTCCATCTCCTTTCACCTCTTTTCATCTCTTTTCATCACTTTCTATCACATTTTACTTCCCTTTCATCTCTTTCCACACCATTTTTCATCACTTTTCACCTCTTTTCATCTCTTTCCATCGCTTTCCATCGCCTTTCTCTTCCTTTTCATCTATTTTCATCTCTTACCATCGCCTTTCTCTTCCTTTTCATCGCTTTTCATCACTTTCTATCACCTTTTACTTCCCTTTCATCTCTTTCCACACCATTTTTCATCACTTTTCACCTCTTTTCATCTCTTTCCATCGCTTTCCATCGCCTTTCTCTTCCTTTTCATCTCTTTTCATCTCTTTCCATCGCCTTTCTCTTCCTTTTCATCTCTTTTCATCTCTTTTCATCTCTTTCCATTGCCTTTCTCTTCCTTTTAATCTCTTTTCATCTCTTTCCATCGCTTTCCATCGCCTTTCTCTTCCTTTTCATCTCTTTTCATCTCTTTCCATCGCCTTTCTCTTCCTTTTCATCTCTTTTCATCTCTTTCCATCGCCTTTCTCTTCCTTTTCATCCCTCTGGAGTCTCCTCGAAATCCGTCATCGGGAGTTGGATCCCGATCTATTATTATTCTTCAATTTGAAGCTATTCTGGTAGGTTATCCCCTCCCCTGCCAGCTTTATGCAAAAGCCTAACATTCGTTCAGGGCGTAAGCTACCGCAAAATTTCGAGGAAAATTCCTCAGGGCCTGTTTCCACCCCCTAATCTCCCCTTCGAGGAGATAAGCTCTTCCTGGATGTATTGAAACTAGCTAGCTAGGGTAGCCTACAGATAAAGGCGCTGTTCTCACTGCATTTACTGCATATCAGAATGGAATATTTATTGGTACTAGGATAATACTATTCTGACAGCCTATGATCTTTAAACCTTTATACACACTCGGCGAGGTAGTCACCTTGTTAACAAAAAAAAAACCCATAACATTATAAACCAGTTAAAACACAATAAAATTGGATAAATAGTTTGCTTCAACTACTACTTGTAGCCCTATTAAACTAGTTCCCCTTGGGTTGGTTCGCTCATTAGTCTTCGATTTTCGTTCATCAGTCTTATTGAACTAACATAGAAGCTAAATATAAACTAGATCAAAATAGTGTAGTCATCACGTTTTTCGAATTATATGACAGCAATAAAAAAAAGGTCTGGAAATATCATACACCAGCTACCATAAAAAAATTATTGGTTGGAGTACAACTCTGATTTTACAGGATAGCGGCTCATAGAATTGGATCGCTCATTTCTCATTAAATATTCACACAGGGTATGGAGGTTTTTTTTTTAAGGTTTTACAGTTATTGGTTCACTAAATTTATGACAGGAATTGAAGTTAAAAAAAGCTTATGTGCCGTTTTGCCATGCGTCTTTACGTCATCTGAAAGGGAAATGCCGCCTCAAAGGACTTAACTCTGGGACTAACATCCGTTGCACATTTCAGGAAGAAGTGGCTGCCCACACAATAGCAAGATCTCATTTTGCTACCAGTGCACTTTGTTGTGCCCTTTTCATGTCGTCATCTTGTCGAACCCCGATCTTCTAGGGTGTTTCTTTAATTAGTTATCATTTCTTGACGACACATTGAATATTTCATGCGCGATCCCGCCCGGCAATCTATAAGTAATATATGATCGTGCCACTTCCAGGAGACCATCCCTTGCATGGCCGAATCACTTTCACCCAACTTATAACACCGTCCATATCGCGTAATTGAAAATAATATAAAATTCAAAGAATAAGATCACTTATTTCTTAAATCTTCATTGACTTCAATTGGCTCAACGTAAGTTTTCTTCATTATATCTTAGTACACTGGCGTGACATGCTTCACTTCTCCTAGTTCTTTGCAAGCTCGGTAATCCCAATGAAAGCCACTTCTGGCGTCAATCCCTTGATAAACTCATCATGCATGACTTCAAATTTGAAAAATTATTGGACTGAATATTTGCAGTGGCATCTGCTTCCACTGAAAGTATTTAAAACGTAAGACTGTCCCTTATCTTATTTAAATAGCTGCTTTACCCCCATATACCTGTGTAAATATTTTCTTTGGCCTTATCAATTCTTGAAAATTCTGCCTCTCGAATATCCTGAGAATCAAAGTTCTTCCTTCCTACAGTATACTAACACTACAATTGTTCACTAGAGTTATTCTGCGTCGAGTGGTTAGTCTTTGCATCTAATCCTCCACTCTAACTCCAGGATTTCTATCTACTCGAGCTGTTCAAATCTTTCAAAACAGTTGTCCAAATTCCCAAAGATAATTTGCTAATATTCGATGATTATTGGAATTCTCATTAAACGGAATAACTACACCTTTCGATATAGATACACATCCAGCTATCAGGATATATCTTGCTGTCCACCTTTCTTTACTTTATAACGGTTCAAAATTATGAAAGAAAAAAAAGCTGAACATATGACTGGCTTAAATTTATATGGAATCTCATCATGCCTTCTGCTGGCAATTATTTACTGTAATTAAATGCTATCGAGATGTTTTTATTTGTCCTCACCCAAGGAAAAAATGTTTCAGAAAAATAGAATCGTTTGAAATTTCACCTAGAAAATTTTTGTGGAAAAAAAACTAATTCTTTCACATTTATAACACATCAAGGTGACCTTATGCCAGTGTCTATAGGTTATTTAGAATTCAAGAGGAAAAGGAATTCTAGAACATTTAAATATTAGACATAACTGGAAGTAATATGAATCGAAAATCGGTATCGACGGACGCGTCCTACCAGCTGCCATCTTGGAAACTTGTCGCGATTGGATTGTCGCGAGACTATTTATATTAAATATTGTATCAGAAAGAGAAATGGAAAGGCGGTAAAATCAACACTCGAAGGATTATATTTAAGAAAACAAAATTCGGGATATCGTGATACATGATATGCAAAATGTTTGTAATAAAATGTTGCAATAATCTAAAATATATAATTAAATATTATGCGGGTTTTACACACAAATGTTAAGAAAAAAAAAGCCCAGTAAATAAATATAAATTCAGTTGTCCTATTTTACAACCTAAATATTTTAAAAGAAAGCTAACAGAGAGGCAACTGTTGGATTCTGTTCATTGTTGGGATCAGTTGGACAAATGGAAAGGGATGTAAGATGTGACTTAGTAAAAATTTCCTTACCAAAATACACAAGTGTGACGTTTCGGCAACAGCATCGTTACCATCACAGGGATAGCGTGTGATATAGAGATAGACAAATATAGAACTTAAGCAGCTAAAACCATATTTGGGAAGACAAAATATCCGACAATATAGGGCACAGAAGCACCTCGAGGACCATGCAGTGTCAGAGCACGCCAAACCTTTCCCAAGCCACCGTGGGTGGAGTCTCCCAGAGGCGTAAGAATGGGGGGGCTGTTGACAGATTCCGCCGGGGTCCAAGTCGCTGGAATGTACTAACGAGGCCTCTGGTATGTGAAATTCCAACATTCATTCTTCCCCGGGTGTCAACTGTCCTTTGAAGAAAGAAAAGGGGGCCCTCCTGGCCCTGTGCAAGAGAGAGTATGCAATTATATGTGATTCAGATCTTATATGGAAACTCCCTAGTATTGTGGCCATATTAAGAAACAGGCCATCAGCAACTTTTAGATTCACAAACAGGGGATGCCTTTTTATTGATTTATCTACATGAATCCTGTACAATTTCACTTTTTTTTTACTATTTTCTCTTAAATATATGTGTCTGGTACTGATCTATTCAAAATTATTCTTTGTTATTTGTGGTATATACTGTGTAGCATCCATGAAATCATTATTAAATTAGATAATCTATAAAAACACCTTCTGGAGATTTAGCAACCCACTGAAGACGCTGAGGACTATTTCAGAAGGGAAGATATATAGCAATAGAACTCTATAATTTCTACAGATCAATTGTAAATAGATTCATACACAAAAGAGATAGTGAGGAAAGTTTTAGAACAGATGTGTAAATAAATCCCCTTTTAAACAAAGGCTCACGTGTACATGAGGAAAGGGGAGGGAATTGCTGTATTATTTTGTTGTTGTATTAAATTAGATAATCTATAAAATAATGGTCGGCTCTCCCATCAAAATAGACGCTAGAATTGAGCGCCATCTATTGACCGTCTCTGCAAACTAGAGGACTCGGGTCGGTGACAAGCCGAGCTTTACCAATTAAGAAGCGCCCACCTAGAAGCGACCCCCCGTATGTGGGCCTGGGACAATTCTGGTATTATAGACCAAATACAGAATACGTTTAACAAAACTCTCTGAATCTACCAAGATATATATATACCAGAGTATATTGTAAGGCTGGGAACAGGCAGAATATCTGACTCTCACAACGATCAAATTAATTATGAAATATTTCATTAGATTACAAAAAGAATGGAGGAC